TTTCAGTTATTACTTATGTTTTCTTGCTGAATTATTTGGATAAAGGTTGAAGTGAATTCTAAATCAATCTTATAATACCAGAAATCTTCTCAGAAGGACTGCAGGATAGATTTAGTGACTAGTTTATTTGTCACATGAATAGTTGTAATTTATTTTAGAATGACTTCGTCAAGTTTTAACAGTTTTGAGACTTTAACAGTCTTGAGTCTGTTCAGCACCTTTCCATATCATTAATGAAATAAATTGATATCATTTCATTAATGATATGGAAAGGTGCTGAACAGACTCAAGAAATTTTGGAGATGTCAATAAACGAAGAAGGGGGGAAATTCTACCTAATTGTCCATGGAGCTGTGTTCATTTCCCCCATCAGCTATGCTGCTAACTTAGGGAAAAATTCAACCCTGCCTGACACAGAAAGGGGAAACAGATGCACCCACTTCTGCCTGCATCCCAGCAGGCAAGGCAGATTTCCACATGGCAGTCTAGAGACAAACTTAAGGTGCACCCTAAAACTTTTTTTGTTTTGCAAAGATGCAAACTAGGGTCCTAGTTCATGAGACTGACTAAGTGTTGTGCACATACAATTTCTGTTAGGAATGTCTACAACCCAGCCAGATACTCATGTATCCATTGGGGCTCAAGAATTTGGCCAAATATTTGCTTTAGTTACATCCACAAGCCAGTGGGCATTATAATGTTGATGGCAGGTTAAACCTGTGCTGTCCATGCAGTGTATGGAATGGTGGATTAAGCTAAATTCAGAACTGGGTAGATAGTTTCTAATGTAATCTGCTGGTCAGTGGATGCATCTTAACATGCCCTTTAATGCACAGAAAACTCCTTTATTGTGCCTTACAGTGTTGTATCAAAAGCCATGCTAATATGCTAATGCGCAATAAAAACAGGCTACTGTGCATTAAGCATCACTAAAAAAAGTGTGCACTTTCGTTACTGTGCATTAGAGCAGCCTAATGCGCATTTATTTAGTACCTTGCATTAGAGGTACTAAATTTAATGTGCAGTAGCAAAAGTGTATTCATGAATGTGTAGACACTTCCAGTGTGTCTCTTGTGTCCTCTGTGCCTAATCTTAAAGACACAAATCCCTGTTACAAACCCCAGCTACAAACCCTGGCTTTTTAGCTCAACTTGTAAAGACTTACACTTTCAATTCTGGCTTTTACCTGGTAAATGTCTACTGCTCGCCACGATGGCGGCAATCCTGGTGGCATTCCATGCAAACACTTTTTAAGGATAACAGGAGCTGTGTCAGCACTGCAGTTTGCTTGCCCCTCTGCAGGGAGCTAACACAAAACTAATACATCACTGAAACCAGAGTTTTAAGTAGGACTTAAATACACAATAGACTTTCTGTTTGACCTTTTATACAGGAATAAATGGGTAAATTGCACCCTTATGACACCAAAACATTTCACCTACAGTAGCGTAACTGTGGGGTAGGGACCGGGACTGGGACTGAGACATCAGCCCAAGGTGCCGACACAGGGAAGGGTGGGGATGGCACGAAGCAAAAATAGCAGCCACCAGCAGCCCAGCTGCAGCGTCCACCCAGTTACAGCTCTGACGGCCCTACGTTTTCTTTCATCCAACTGCTCTGTAATCCCTTATATCACTATAACAAGATTATGTAGCGATGAGTGTTGAAATTCTTTATGCTTAGAAATAATAAGGTTTTTCATAATGTATACACTTAAAAGAAGTCATGTTTTAGTATAGTATAATAAGGCAGAGCTTAATATAGTCTATTAAATCATATGTCTTGCGTGTATGTATATATAGGTATGAACTGTATATATAATACATTTTCTTCATTTTTGTAGATGGTTTTTCTTATTTTTCATACTTATTTTCATATGTTATTGTGGGTTACTGTTTGTGCACGTTCTAAAGGCAATATGGTTATTTTGCTTTTTTTTAAAAAGAAAGAAGTAGAACAGGAATCGCAGAAATAGATGCAGGGCAAAAAGTAGGTGCATTTGGCCCTTTTTAAGAGCAAGGTGTGTTTGTCTTAAAATGATCCTTTGACACTGAATTAGAGAGAGCTCTCCTCTCAAGTGCCTGCATATTTCATACATCAAGCTTATCCTCTAATCCTGATTTCAAACCCTCCTCCATATGCCAGCAACATAAAAATCTTTCTTGGGATTTAAATTATTTAACAGTTTCTGTTACTAAAATTCCAGCAGTAAAATGAACACCTAGAATATTTAAGTAGGTAAAGGAATATTTTGCTACCAAAAAAATGACTGAGGTGAAAAAAAATATATCAAAAGTGATTAATAATCAATACATTTGGCAGTTAGGTGGGTGCAGTTCATGCTGGTTACAGTTACACACTGGGCTCATCTACACATGCTATTAATGCATCTGAATAACCTCTGGCATAGTTCATGCTGGAGTCAGCTGCTTCCCAGATGCAATATCTTCACATGCACCTGGGACTGCAGCAATCTGAGCCATTGCGGAGCAACCCTGCGCTGGCAGGGGAACCCAGGGGGTGAGCCCTGGGTTTCAGGTGGCAGTGTCAGGCAGCGGAGGGGCTGCCCAGTACATGAGGACGCTACAGTGTGGAGCTAGGCAGCAGGCAGCCCCTGTACTGTAGCACCTTTGTGCCTCAGGCAGCCCCGGTCACAGTCTCTATGTCCATTTGAGTGCACATAATTACTCCACTGTAGGATAGTACTTGTCCCGGACAGTACTGTCCTACAGTGGTGTTAATTAGTTTACTGTGCCCTAATACAGACGAATGTGTTGGCTGATGCTTTACTGTGGAGCTAATTAGTCAACTTTGCAGTAAAACACACGTCTAGATGTGCCCCCCACCTTGTATCAAAATGAGACTTTCAACTTAACAAAGCTAAGCAAGTCAAAGGCAAGGATGAGACACAGTCCTGGGTACCCAGTCTTGACCTCTAGAAGAAAACAATTAAAATGCTTTCCTGACGTCCATAAAATGAATGGTAAATAATCATCTTTAGTGTTAGCTTTGAACATCATAACTGGCCAAGGTGTCTCTCTGGGCAAATTTCCTTGTTTCTAATGCAGGAGCAAGGGGGATGTCACAAGAAAACAAACTCCCCATTTACTGTGCCAGTATCAGGCTGATTTTGCTCTCCCAGGACTCAGTGGAGCAACCCAACTACCCTCCTCTTGGAGTAAGTGAAGCCCCCCAAAGGATGCTCACAGCAATAACCTTACAATTGCTTGGCAAGAGGCCATGACAGCAAGCTGTCTTCGCTCCCCATAACAGCAGATGCTTCCCCTTGCCTGCGTAGGCATTCCAGGGGAGGATCTGGGTACATCGAAGAAGAATGACTTTGGGAACTCCCAGATCTGCCCTCTCCTTCAGTAGCTCTGTATGCTAAGTCTAATGGATGCTATCTGGCCCATGGGATGAGCTTTACTACCAGCTCCCCATCACACAGAATGATTTAAGTTAGTATAAAGCAAAGATGATCACCAGCATGAGCAAATAAAACTCAGCGATTGGGTAACAGGAGGGGAGATGGCATTCACTGTCCTGGAGACAAAGATTCTACAGAAGAAATAAGTTAAACTCCTTGTTCGCGCTGATGGATTCTGAATTACCCTCTCAGGGGGAACAAAAATATCTAGGCATCTTTTGAAGCAGCTTTATAAAGACATCTAGGATCAGCACTTGTCAAAAATGCACGTGGAAAAATGGATGAATTAAGAAAGGACCAGGAATAGTATGCCAAAAATTGTAATGTCATTTGTATAAATGCAGGTGCATCTTCACCTCGAATAGCTTGTTTGGTTTTGATCACTTCCCCTCAAAAAGATGGAGGAAGCTATATCGAGTATGGTAAAAACCAGTTATAGGGGCTTGTGCTTGAATCCATATACTTTGGGTCCCAAGTTGGTGGCCTGCTGGAGTGAGAGAGATGTACCCATTATACAGACGTTTGCTAGGTGTACAGAATACAAATTGGTCAGAGGCACGATGGGGTTTTCTGTGCTTTCTGCCAAGAGATTTACAACCTTTTGTTTGGAAACAGGGTCAGACCCACTAGCAACTTTGTCTCTTAGGACAGGTCCTGCGTTCTCTGCTCTAAATTATGGGAGAACCAAAGTTAGATTAAAAAGAAAAAAGAAAAAAACAGAGCCATATGTTTGCACAGCTGATTTATAAACTCCAAAAGAAGATGGGATTTCATAATCTGAATACCGGCAGAAATACAGACTTACATCAATGCTACTAAGGGTTGCTATAGTTAAAGTTTAGAATTTAGGATGCTGACAGATGTGCCCCCTCCCCCCCCCGGTGCGTTACCAAAAGAAGAATCGTGTCAGATTGACCCGGCTCCACAGTATCTGAATCAGCTATTAGATAAAAGCACTAAAAAGCCCCTATACAGGCGCTGGGCAAACTGGGTCAAACTAACGCAGTTCCTCTTCTGGGCATGTGCTGTGCTCAACTCTGGCATGCTGAGCTGAAAGTAAAGCACTGTTGGGCGGGGTGGGGTCCACATCTGTAAGTACCCTAATTGTGCTGCATTATACCACTGTAAATCTGGAGGAGTTGCACTGAGCTCAAAGGATTTGGGGGGAAGGAAGGCTTACACTTACATGTTGTTACCATGGCACTCCATTTTGGCACTGATTACTTTCTCCAAGCAACATAATTTTTGCATTATTACCATACGTGGTCACTTCCTATTGTGAGACGCTATGGAATGAAGTGGGGTTTATAGAAATTATTTAATGAAAATCCAGGCTTGAGAAAGGAATTGACTAAAGTGCTCAACCCTGGAACCCTCCCTTATCAGAAGTTTTTAAAGTTGTTAATTAACTGTTAGAACATTATCCTGCTAGTGGTTTTTTATCTTATATGGGGGTGGGAGGCTTTTCTTAGAAAGCGAGAAGGCAGTAGCAGGATTAGTCTGTTTTTTTCAAGGTTGTAATGGGAAGATTGGATAAGTATTTTCTAAATGTTATACTTTCTCCCCCATTCAGGATGATTATTTCAGAAACTGGAATCCAAACAAGCCCTTTGATCAAGGTAAAGGTAGTACTTTTATTGACTATACTCTTTTTAAAGATATTTCATGATATGCACATTCTCTCTGTGTCTTGTCTCGCTCGCTCGCTCGCTCTCTCTCACTAATCAGTATGTAGTTCCTGTGTCTAATTTTTGTTCACGTTCTGGGGTGGTTTGAATCAGAGGAGTTGGCTGATAGCTATTTTTTTTAATGATCTTTCAGTCCTATTTGTGTTTGGTGGTAAACTACGTGCTTAAAAGGTTCTTCATAATTGGGAAAGATCTAGCATGCAAACTAAAATGAGTAATTTAGCATACTTTAGTTGTCCTGTTAAATGACTATTTTATTGCTTTTATTATCTAACAATGAAGTGTACATTATTTGAAATCAGTGGCAGTTTTCTCAGAGATGCACTAAGGATCAGTTGAGAAGTCAAAATGCTGCTGTATGTCTGATTTCATATTTGATACTAACAAGGACACTTAAGACATTTGGTACTTTCCTTATCCCTCTTGGTTGTCAAGTTTGGGGATACTCCTATCATCTATTAGGACTTGTCTACCTGGGAAAATTTGCTAATTTTATAGAATTATACCGGCATCTGTGAAAGCACACTTTAATGTAGGAATAGGAATGACATGACCATGCCAGTATATCTACGTTGTTACATTTCCCTGTGTAGACGAGTCAAATGAAAAATAATGCACGGTACATAAAGCACAAACAAGTAGCCCTAGGTGATTTATTGAATCTGGAAAATATGGTGCTTAAGAGGGAAAAAGTTGAAGGCATACTTTGCTGTTCTGTCAAATGTTGTTCACTTCTAATACTACTGTGACGAATAAGTTATGTAATAAAATGTTTACTTGTGGAAGCAGTGTCTTAATTGATAGAAGATGCCTCCAGCAATTTATCATTCTGTTAGTATACTTCACTGCAGTTTTCAGCAATGTTTGTGCACAAATATCTTGCATTGAGATTTGAAACCAGGACCCGTAATTCAAAGGTGCATGTTAGCAACTGAATCAAATTGGCATTACAAAGGATGTTTAAAATATGACACGTGGAACCTGAGCATACTCTTGAGTGTCCAGAAGTTTGTGGAGGCAAAGAATATACGGAGAAAATGTTCTCAAGTGAAAGGATGCAACCTGTATAAAACTACTCCCTGATGTGTTGAGACAAGCAGGAAGATTGCAAAGAGCTGGCTAATGCACAGTAATGTCAGTTTTGGCAGTAGGACACTGATAGAGCAGTCACAAAGTGTATTGCAGAAATGAAACTGCCTGCGCAAACTTTGCAGCCTTAAGCAAAGCCAGTCAGCAGTCTAAGGAGTCTAGTGTAGCAGAGTATTCCTGCAACCAAGAGCAGGCTCAAGAAACAGAACGCTCTCTATGACCTAGCCAGGATAACAGACTGGAAACAACAGGTATGGCAGGACAAGAAACCTGTAGGTCCTGCTAAGTGGCTATGTGGAGAGCAGTGGTGAACAGAGAGGTCTTACAGATGATATATTGACATTTAGAGAACATAATACACTTTTCGGACTGGGTAGCAGAATTAATTTGTCCTGGAGATCACAGCCAAATGTCAGTGGACGCAGTAAAAGCCCTGATATTGTTACCTGTGTCAGGCTTGACAATTGATGTCAGTTCAATAAGGAATGGTGGAAATAACGAAAAGCATGGCAATGCATTTTACCGGAAAGGCAGTCAGGAAAGCAGTGCAAAAGATGATAGGCCATTATAAAGTCCAGAATGCGCCATTTTACCATAGTAATCAATATTCAGAAATGTAGAGTAGTTGTGCTCTGGGATGCGCAGCTATACCATGGTGTGCTCTCAAAGGGATGAAGCCCTGAGGGAAGGGGAGGGTGCTTTTCATTTGATTCTTGACAAAAAATGTATTTTTAGAATAGCTTCATCCTGAGTTTTGCTTCACTGGACACAATTTTTGCCCATTTTGCATACAGTAGATACTCATGTGCATTGCAGAAAGACTGGGCCAACAGCATCTCTGTCTTTTAGATACTTTCCTGGTGTGCAGTGCAACAAACCTTTTTTAATTGTAGTGCACAAAATGCCTGCTAGGACAGTTGAAACTAGTGGATTATATCCAGCAAATGTCAGATAGATCATTAACCTATTTCACAGCTTAGAGCACTTTATTGGCTATATGATCCCAGGTTTCTCTGACTAGTATTGGTTCATTCATGTCAAGTCTCAAATTCTAGAGCTGCCAGAAGCATACTATTTCAATTGAATCAGTACCCTTGTGATACCTACTATCCTTGTGTGTCAGAATTTGTCATCGATTTCTTTCTAGATGCAGCCCTATGGCCAGATATTCAGAAATACATAATTATACCAGTCAAAACAATTAACATGAAATTCATTTCCATGGAAAGAATTCAGCACAGGGCTTTACGCCACCTCTTAAGTACTCTTTGGAAGACTTTTCAGATATGTGATACGTTAGCTTTTTGCTTGACTCTTGTAGGAGGGTGAATGTCACTCACCCTGATTAAAATGACCAGTTAGATGGTGAAGTAATTCCTTGGATGTTAATTGTGCTTTCATATTCAGTAATGGTGTTTGAGGAAATTAGGCAGGCATATTATTGAACAAACAGTTAAACTCAGCGTGTAAAAATAATAATAATAATAATAATAATTTTTTTAAAATTAGCCATCGTTTAGTTTCTGCTTTTCTTTTAATTCTGTATTTACATGTAACTTGATGTTAAATAAATATTCCATATGCTTCTGTTTATACTCGGTATTACTTGTAGCTGTTTATTATCTTGCATTTCCTGAAACACTAATGTCTTTGTTTTTTTAGCATTTTAATTATGTCTGTTTTCCCGTTTCTTATTTGTAATTGCCTTGCTTTCAAATTGCTAATCTTTCTGATCCTACTGTGACTGCCGTGTCTCCTTGCAAGTGTCTCTGCATTTCTTTTCCAGAGAATTCAAAGCAGATAGTTATTGTATTCTCCTTACAATAAGCATGTATGTTTGAAATTATTGATTGAGTGATAGCAACTGATAACTTCGTCCCAAACAGTCCGACAGTTAGCAGCAGTCCATTTACTCCTGGACAGAATGCGCGTGGTATACCTGTAGGTTGTTACCTTTGAATGTGTGTGTGATGGCCTCTAACAGAAGAGGAAAATACATGTAGACTCCCTATCCTAATCTAACATTTTTGTGATGAGCTTTCAGTAGTCAGAAATGGGTGAAGTATTGCATCACTCTCAGTTTCAAATTATTTATTAAAATGCATCCATCCAGTATTCTGGCTGCATAGAAAAATATTTTAAGATCAACAAAAAAATTTTTTTGGCTACCCAACATACAAATGCAGGAATTCTCCCTTCACCCACTGGATTCCCAGTCATGAATCTTTCCCAGCAAATCATGTCATAATGTTCCTCTCCCAAGGGTAAGAACAGAGAATGAAACAAATGAACACGGAAGTATGACCTGATAGTTGATTGAGATTGTAATGAACTGAAACAAAAATGAATTGAGAATCATATGGTTGCCTCTGAGAATGACCAGCCTCCTGTAGTTTTGTGATTTAAACCATTGGATAGTGGCTGGAGTGCTTTCAATGACCTCAGTGCCACAAAATTGCATGGGGTAAAAGACAGTCTCTAAGGTAATGAGGCCTTATATCATGTGGAGATTTATTCTATAACTTTTAAAACCATCACCATAAATTGTTAAAACACAGGGAAGGATGGGAAGTTGGTGCACGCCTTAGAACACTGCTGTAATTTGTGTAACCAATTTTTCCCAATTGATTAGCAAAGGGAGATGAGCACAATTAACCCAAGAGATAAAATTGATGTGCACATGGTACACAATGCTATGCAGAGTGTATTCTGAATAAAGACCCTGCTGGCAAGAAAATGCATATGTGCATTGTACAGAGCTCCAGCGCCAGCTACACTGGTTTCATGCTGGGTAACTCTACCAGTTTCCATGAAGTTACTCCAGACTCACACCAGCATAAGTGAGAACAAAATCCAGCCATTGATGTAGGTCTGTGTCAGAACAAGAAAGCCATGATCCCCATCTAAGTCGCTTTGAGTAGTGCCTGCAGTGAGGGGAACACCAAGGCTTTCCCTCTTCATAGATGGACTTGGGATGATGATTGCCTTTCCTTCATCTTGTTTCTTGCTCTCCCTCTGCCCTTCTGTCTTCCACTTTTAGCACAAATAAACATGGGAGTATGTGGAATAGGTTGGAGAAAAGAAGTAATAGGTGTGAGTAATAGAATGAATGAGAAGAAAGAATCAGTAATGATGGAGGAAGCAGAAGGGATATGACATGACAGGGAGTACCAAGTAAAAGTCTAGAGCAGGGGTAGGCAAAGTTTTTGGGGACAGTGCCAAAAACACCCACTGTTGGCACCCACTGTTGGGTTTATGACCCAGATACCTTGTTCTGAGTGGACCCAAGCCCTCAGACCACCACAACTTCTTCCATTTGATAATAGGCACATTTTATTGGTATATGGTGATAGCAGATAAGAGTAATACAGGCAAAGTGAACACAATAACCACCCTAATTCTACTTAGCTACTAGTTCCTAAGGCTTCACAAGGAGAATGGTACGCCTGGCTAGTACATGAATTCTACCCTGTGGTTTTCGCTTGAATGACAGGTGTCGGCAGCCTTGAAGGTCAAGGGCCAAGGGCCCTCCCCACCCCCAACCCAGTAGGGTAGGTGAGATAGGATAATGGTGCATCCTCTGTCCATGTTGGCCTTGGGTTCCCCCCTGGGAGCCCCCTGCTGCTCTGAAATCTCTCCTTTTGTAGTCTTTCTCCTCTGATGACTCTTCATTCCCAGGTACCACTGATTGGTTTTCCTGTAGTCAAAAGCATATGTTTCCACAAACCCATTACATGCATATATCTTAATTTGGTCATTTACCAGTGTCTTTATTTGGACATGCCCAGCCTCCTAATTTGATCATTTTACCAAAACTAGAAATCCCAGGGGCTTTGCAGTTGGTCACT